CTTGATGAATTATCGTGTGGTTTGAAAGTGGATCGTCTGGTTAATTATGGCTAATGTCGGCTTACCATGGCATATCGTGCTCATATATTGATGTTTGATATCAAATTGAGTGCGATTCATAGTATATTTGTTCGTAGGTAATTGCACGTCATAAACACTCGGCATTGGCTAATTAAGAGGGAACATTTTCTGCTTGTCAACCAAAATGGTAAGCTTCGTCATGTACGTCATTATGTGTCCGTAATACGTGTTCATATTTTTGTACATATTTGTCTAACATTCCTACTTGTCAGTATAAACGTGGAGGTCACATGCATAGAAGACCAGCCTCTTCAACGGGGTCGTCCCCGGCCCTTTTCTCGTCTCCTGTCGGTTCATCTAACCCGCAACCACAATATGCTGATGGACAATATGGACACGTTGGTCCTTCCTCCAATGCTCAAGAATATGTTATGGGACTTGGCCACATGCCAACTCAATCTCCTCCAGTTCCATCTCCTTTGGCTCCCTATTCTTCCGTTCCACCTTATTATTCAGCGCAACATTCACATAATGACGGAAACGAAGGTGAAGAAGATAACCGATTCCTGATATGCCCATTTGGAGATTCGTAAGTACTTCAATTTTTTTTTTAGTATATGTAATATTTATGGCTTTCGATATGGATGTCAATTGAATTGTCGATGTTGCACAATATCCGTATGTTTGCAGATTCACGGATGCTACGTTTGTTGTGAGGGAACTGAATAAAATAGTCAAAAACTATTGGATGGGGGAGTATGTTAATTACAGAAGTGTTCCACAAGAGGTGAAAGATTTGTGGTGGAATGAGTTCAAGGTAAGTTTTAGATATTTTATTTTCTTACCAACTAAGTTCGGTGTAGTATATTGATGGTCAAGAATGATGTAAAGGGACCAGAACAGCTCTTTACTTTTCGGTACTAAAGGGACCAGATATTTTCCCCGATATGAACTTAACAAAGTCTATCGGCGAATTGTCTGGTGCATGGTAATGGATATGTGACCATCATAATAACTTTCAGTTTTGCTTGTAATGATTGCAGCGGAAGTTCAGGTGGGATGACCAGCAAGAGAATGAAGTGAGAAGAATTTTTCAGAAGAAAGTCAGTGATCACATACGAAATGTGATGAATAGAGCGAAGAGCAGGAAAGTGAAGCCGGCTTTCATTACAATTGACAATTGGGCGGAAATTAACAGAATTTGGGAAACTGAGAAGAGTCAGCAAATCAGTCAGCAGAATGAAAAGAATCGATTTTCCAGTTCTAGTGAAGGGTCTGCCACATATGCTGGGGGCTGTCCCAACATTGGGGAGCATCGCAAACGACTGGTAAGTCTGTTAAATAAGTTATAAGTTAATTTAATTCAATTACTCATGTTTACATTTTTTAGGCACAAGAATTGGGGACGGAACCGACATTTGCAGCTACATTTGAACGCACATTTCAAAAGAAAGATAAGACGTGGATTGGCGATCGAGCAAAAGCTATTAAGGTATGTAAGGTTATACTTTGGGCTTTATGGAAACTAGAATGAAAATCGTGAATGCTTTTAATATTTATGGTAGATATATATATATATATATATATATATAAAGTTATTTTATTTTCATCTATATTGTTAATGTAGGAAAAATATGATGAACTTTTAATGGGCAATGCTAGTGGTAGTGATGGTTCTGCAAGTGCTTCTGAGCCAGCACTTGACAGTATGCCATTATGGGTGGAGGCAACGGGTGGGGTGAAAAAAGGAAAAATATTTGGGATGGGATCCTTGTCAAGGACGTTCATGCCGAATCAAGCTGGAACTTCATCATCCAATGCGACTGGTCGAAGGAGGACACGACATGACGAGCAATTGACCCAAGAAGTGAACCAACTGAAAATTATAATTGTAGAGAGGGATGAAGAAATAAATGACTTGAAACATCAAATGCAAATCGTTATGCGACACCTCAACATCAATCGCGGTGAGGTTCCTCCTGTACCCCCTGCCAATCCAATAAGTGATGAGCACAATGATGAGCGACACAATGATGATGACATTGATGATGATGCTGATGATTTTCTCGGTCATTTCTAGTTAAAATTGCCAAAATCGGGGGTAAGCTTGCTTCACAATCTTATATGACATAAGTGCAGTTTCACCCAATTTGTTCCTACCCTACAATTACTTTTTGTGCACAACTTTCTTACTGACAGGTTCAACGATCTAATTTTTCCTATTTGATAGAAATACGGTTTACAAGGGTGAAAAAACTACAGTGGATGTCAAAATTGACTCATACTCATATGTAAGAACATTGATGTTTGTCCTGAAACGTTTTTTTGTTAACCCTCTTACTTGTTTTTTTATACCTAGTTCCACATCCATGCATAAGCACTTCTTTTATATTCTTGACTGATTGAATATCTTTATTTATGTATCTACATTTCATCAGGTGTCGACAAAAGTGACTGCTTTTGGTGTCCTACCGAGCACCACAGCTACCCAATCTTGTGTCTGGTTTGTCGATTTTTCATTTTCTAAGCAGAATCTAGGGTTGTCCCGCCTCCTATGAATGTTTTGAATGTATTATAAGATTTGATATCAAATATCATCGTGTCAGGCTTTACAACTTTGCATATATCATTATTTTTTGCGGACTAGCATCTTTCCTTCAGTTACATTTTTCAATTATATGGCATTATGTCTGGTTTGTTTGTTTTCTGTTTCTGAAGCGGAATCTATGATTTTCTCGCGTCCTTTGATTGTTTTCAATGTATTACATGATGTTCATTAATGCGTAGCAATTGATATGGATAAGATTTGATGGCCGAAATGCTGTAAAATTTGCGACGAATATTTATATACGAATTTTGCGACCATTACAGTTCGTGGCTAATTTGCGAATCAAGTTCATGCCTAATTTCCGTCTAATACATTTTGCGACGGATTTTACGACGAATTTTGCGACGAATTTTGCGACGGATTTTGCTACGGATTTCGCGACAAATTTCGCGACGAATAAAGTTCGTGGCTAATTTGCGACGAATTATTTGCAACGAATTGTGCGACGAATTTTACCACGAATTTTGCGACGAATTTTGCCACGAATTTTGCGACGAATTTTGCGACGAATTTTGCCACGAATTTTGCGACTAATTTTGCCACTAATTTTGCGACGAAATTTGCGACGAATTTTGCGACGAACTTTGCGTCGGATAGTGTTCGTGGCTAGTTTGCGACGATTTTTCCGACGAATTATTTGCGACGACCTAGTAGCGACGGAATCTTTTCCGTCGCTAAATTTGTCGCAAAAACGATTTGCGACGGATTTTTGCGATTTTTTCGTTGCAAAATCCGTCGCAAAAAACATGTTTTTTTGTAGTGTTGAGTGAGCAAAGGTGCATTTGGCCATAATAGTCAATTGCGCAACGTGTTGGGATAATTACCAAAAAGGTCTTAAACATATTATGTGAATGCCAATTCAGACCTAAATCTTTCAATTTGACCGATTTGGTCCTAAACTTTCAATTTGATCAATTTAGTCCAAAATATTTTGACGATTTGCTATTGTAGTCATTTTGGCCAGTTTTAATTGGCAACCACTGAACGTGAACGCCAGTCATCTTACGTGGCACAGCCGGCACTAACATGGATAATGTTACAAATTTTCTAAAACTTTTTTTTAATAATTTTTATAATTTTATTCTTCTTCCTTTTTATTTCCTTATTCTTTTTTCTTCTTTTTTTCTTTTTCTTTTTCCTTTTGAATTTTTTGGACGAGTTCGGTTCCTAGTTCTAGGAGTGGAATCGCCCACCTGCCTACTCGAATCGAACAGGTATGTATGTGTATATATATATTTTAAAAAAAAATTCAACTCACTTTCAACAAAAGTGAGTCTTTCTCGCTTGCCTTTTGCCATTTACCCTATAGTCCTACTCGCGTCTCGTGGTCCTCGAAATTGAAACAAAAAGGAAGAAATCCTAGCCTCATCTCTCTCTCACCGTGAGAATGTCATGCAACCATGCCTTCAACTCTATCGCAGACTTGCAATTGCCTCGCGCCTCACCTCCGGTCCTCCTTCACATCTCGCATCAGGCTCTCGCCTCGCCTTCAACTTTATTGCTGAGTTGTGGACTTGCAAGTGAAATTTTCTACTTGAGGGTACTCATTCTTTTTGTTGCTGTTGGCAAATTCGATTTCCGACCTAGGGTGCTTCAAATTATGTTGAAGTTTAGTTTGAGATTTGTTAGTTTTTGGCTTGTCGTTGCCTTTTGCTCTTGCTCTAGTTGTGACTCCAGGTAATTCTGCGCTTACTTGAGCCTCTGTTAGTAGATAATTTCAGGGAATATACTTGGTCACCATGTTTGTATTCTGGTTGTGAATCTGTAGGGATTAAGTTCTGGTTCCATGGACTGACCCAGGAACTGGATCGAACTAGCGGTCCGACTCTAGAGTGGATCAATGGAACCAACGAGTGATTTCCGATTCCAATTTTTTCGGAACTGGTCTTTAGTGGGCGGTTCTTAGTTCCAGGGTCACCCCTACCTGTGGCTAGTTATTGGCCACTGCTGAGGCCTAGCAAACGGCGGAGGAAGAAGCAAAAAAAAAAGAAAGCAAAGAAAAAAATTCAGAAAGTGTTTTTAAAAAAATTGTCACCAGCCGAAAGGATTATATTGGTAAATTGTCAATGGTTTAAGACTAAATTAGCATCCATACAATAGGTTGATGACTTTTTTTTGGGAATTTTGAAACAGTGTTTGTGTGACTCGAGTGGGTTGTTGTAATAATGTGTTTTGATTATTTGTTTCTCGCGACGTATACTGTCCAAATTCAAGCCCATCAAGATATTTAATTAGACCTACATTCACTCAAAAACTTATACAAAATAGTTGTAAGCCAACAATGATATTTAATTACTCTACGCCACATAATTTTCCGACGTGGGACTTTTTTAAGACAACTCTTACATGGTAAAAGAGTTGTTTAGTTTGGTTTTTCATTGAGTCGAGAGAGAATGACACAAGAGAGAGAAGGGAGAAGCGGGGAGGTTGACGTGAAAGGTGGAAAGGGACAAGGAGAGCTGAACGCCCCGGCAGATGCCATCAAAGTGATGGGAGATGATCACCATCCTCATGATCCCACAAAATTATGGTGTTAATGGTTCGATTCGAATTTCCTGAAAGCTCGAACCGTTAGGGCATGCGTTTGATATGAACTGAACCACTACAAAAAAACATGGATTTTGCCACGGAAATTTGCGACGGGGAATTTTTTGTCGCTAATTTGCGACGAAATTTTTTTTCCGTCGCATATTAGCGACGAAAATTATTCGTCGCTAATTTGCCACGAAATAAAAATTCGTCGCAAACTTGAGACGGAAAATAAATCCGTCGCAATGTCCGTCGTAAATTTCGTCACAGATTTGCAACCGATTTTGCGACGGATTCCAAAAATTGTATTGCATTTTCTAATCCGTCGCAAATTTGCGACGGATTCCAAAAATTGTATTTGCATTTTCCAATCCGTTGCAAATTTGCGACGGATTCCAAAAATTGTATTGCATTTTCCAATCCATCGCAAATTCGTTTAGCGACGAATTTTGCCAAATTTTTCGTCGCAAAATTCGTCGCTAAAACCTTGTTTTTTTGTAGTGTTCTAAAACTAAACCTAAGTTCTTCTAAATCTAATCACGATGATTACCATGTCTCAATCTCTCGTGATAAGGACAAGGACTACATAAGGAATATACTCCATCACAAGACAAACTAAATATTGCCTAATGAAATCAATCTAATGTAAACTAACAATTATTAATTGAAATTCAAACTAAATTGGATGATTGTCACAAGTTCAAATTCAAAAGAGATTGGACGATTTGCTACACGTCCAATTCTAAGAGAGATTAGATATTACAAATTCAAATTAGATAAGAAGATCTATTATAAATTCAAGATATTAGATAATCTCTTAAAATGTTCTCATCCCAAATAAGCCTTTTTAGATTCGATAGGTGCAAATCTTATCTTCTTTTTTTTCAAGACTTAGATATAGATAACACAGATATCTATTTAGTTGAATATGGCGGTTTCCTCCGCACGTAGCTCTTATGTATGCATAAATATAGGGGTAAATAAATTATAGCAATTTTCAAATAGATCAGAATTGGGTGGATGTATGAAATGTAAAGTCAATGTATCTATATGGGGATATCTATAGGAGATCATATAAAGAGATATTCTTATTTAGACCTAACTAATTTGATCTAACCAATTAGATGATTTACTCCTAAAGGGTTACATCCGAATGATGAGTGAATAGAGGGCATACATTCTATTAGAGAAATATTTAGAAGATTCCCTATATTTCCTTTAATTGATTGTAATTGATATTTTCCCTTTTAGATAGTTATCCTATAAAACCGATAAATAGGTTCGTGTACTCTTCATTTGACAATGATATATATATATATATATATATATATATATATATATATATATATATATATATTGCTCTTAATTTTTTTTATCACATTCTTGACTTGGTATCAGAGCCCTATTGTTATTTGAGAAAGTGTCAATTGAGTCTCTTTATAACAACGACATCCACATCAGTCATGTTTCTCCACAGTGTTCGTAATGCTAGTCACATCGGCCCATTTCGCAACAACCTCCCGTAGTTGTTTGACATTCCTCCGCTGCTCTAATGAAAAAAAAAAAACATCACTAGACTTGCCGCCCTTAGACGTAGATCATGACATTTACTAATTCGTCAAATATGAGTAATGTGTCATTGTATGTAAAAGTGTAGAAGCATATCTACTCAAGGTTCCGACGGAATTAGCAACAGATTCGAAAAATTGGTCGGTATAAACATTTCCGTCGCTAATTCCGTTGCAAATTAGCGACGGATTTGAAAAAATGGGCGCCATGTGCCGCGAAGATCACTTCCGTCGCAAATTAGCGACGGAAAAATAAATCCGTTGCAAATTAGCTACGGAAAATAAATCCATCGCAAATTTGCGACGGATTTGGAAAAAGCCCTTTATTTTTGGAATCCGTTGCAAAACCTCGCGCGCACGTCCTCTGCTCCAACCTTCTCAGCTCCTTCTTCATCGCAAATTAGCTACTGAAAATAAATCCATCGCAAATTTGCGACGGATTTGGAAAAAGCCCTTTATTTTTGGAATCCATCGCCTCTCCTTGCGCGCACGTCCTCTGCTCCGACCTTCTCAGCTCCTTCTCCCTCTTCTTCCTCTTCCTCTTCTCTCTCTCTCTCTTTCTTGATCTCTGCAGCCTGGCGATCTCTCCTCAGACCCAACGAGGAATCGCCGCGATCTGTCCCCCTCTCCGCTGCTCCAGCTCAGGTAAGATCCTCGCATTCCCCCCTCTTCGCTCCATCATCGGCCATCAAGGTGCAGCTCCACGTGTCTCCCTTTGTTTCTTTTAGCTGTTCTTTGTCTTTGGGCTTCCGGAGGTTGCATTTTGACTTTCTGCTGTTTCGATGCCCGCGTGCTTTTGGAGTTTTGGGTCTGTTCGTTTGCTTCTTCTTGTTGTGAAATTTCGGAACTTGGGGAGGTTCGAGCTGATGGGTGTGTTGTTTTTTTCCCCTCCATCGACTGTCTCGTGCAGGTCCTGTCATGAGCTGATCGCGTCTCGCTGTTGGGTCGTTCTTCCGGCGGAGGATTTTTGCGGGATCTCGAAGCGGAGTGAAGTAAAGTTGTTCCGAAGTTTAAGCTGAATCTCGTGCCTTTTTTGGGGGTCGATGAGGAATACCGCGGCGACCGGCGCTGGGGCGGCCCTGGTGTTTCTGTGCTTGTCCGCGTCATTGGCGGTGGCGGTGGTTTTGGGGGCGAACTATGTGCCCACCGATAAGATCCTGCTGAATTGCGGGGCGGATCCGCAGACCACCGATACCGATGGCCGGGTGTGGACCTCGGACATCGGTTCCAAGTTCCCGTCTTCCACCGCGAACTCGATCACGGCTGCGGCCGCCACGCAGGACCCCTCGGTGCCCCAAGTCCCGTGCATGACCGCGAGGATCTTCCCGTCTAATTTTACTTACAGTTTTCCCGTGGCATTCGGTCGGAAGTTCGTCCGGTTGTACTTTTATCCCTCTTCGTACAATTCGTATAACGCGTCCAATGCCATATTCTCTGTTTCTACTAGGGATTATACTCTTCTGAAGAACTTCAGTGTGGCCCAAACGACGAAGGCTTTGAACTTTGCATATGTTTTGAAGGAGTACTCGGTCAATGTTGAGGGGCAGACGCTGGACCAGTTGGTCGCAAATTAATGACCAAAAAAAAAATTCATCAAAAATTAGCGACGAATTTTGCCACGAATATATTTCGTCGCAATTTTTAGACCAAAACAAAAACATTTCGTTGCAATTTAGAGACCAAAAAAAAATTTCGTGGCACATTAGAGACGAATTTTGCGACGAATACAGTTCGTGGCTAATTTACGACGAATTTTGCCACGAATAATTAGCGACGAATTTTGCGACGGACAATTAGCGACGAATACAGTTCGTGGTTAATTTGCGACGAATTTTTTGCGATGAATTTTGCGACGAATTGTTTTTGTCGCAAATTAGCGACGAAAATTGATATTTTGCGACGCCGAATTAGCGACGGATTTTTTTCCATAGCAAAATTCGTCGCAAATTCGTTTAGCAACGAATTTTGCGACGGACAATTAGCGACGAATTTTGCGATGAATACAGTTCGTGGCTAATTTGCGACGAATAAAGTTCGTGGCTAATTTGCGACAAATTTTTTTTCGTCGCAAATTAACGACGAAAATTGATATTTTCCGTCGCTAAATTTTGCGACGCCGAATTAGCGACGGATTTTTTTCCGTCGCAAATTCGTTTAGCGACGAATTTTGCCAAATTTTTCGTCGCAAAATTTGTCGCTAAAACCTTGTTTTTTTGTAGTGAACCAAATATAACCCCAACAGAAAACTCAGTTCGGTTCGGTTAGGTCGGGTCAAGTTTGTGGCCCTCGAAACTGGAGTATGGGAAATTGAGGCCTCTCCATGTCCAGCATCAGATTTATGCCGTCCTCAGTTTCTCTTACGCCTCCCCCAAATCGAAACACCCAAAGGAGTCATACCATCGTCCATGGTTCAGAGTTAATCGCAAGCCTTGTTCGGATGCTCCGTGACTGGCAAGCCCTAACTGTCTTCTCCCTCTGCTCGATAGAAGGGCCAAAGAAGCCTCGGTTTAGTCTTGGCTCTGCTCGATGAGCGAGTGAGCATTCAAATGTCTTGCTCCACGGTTGTCTGTTGCCGACCTTCTACCATTTTGTGCTTGGCCATGTAAATCTAACGATGGATTTTGGGGAAAATTACCAAAAAAATCCTAAATCTATTACACTTGTGTCAATAATCTTAAGTATTTTAATTGTGCCAATTGAGTCATAAACCTTTTCATATTTTGCAAATTGAGTCCATCCGGCCAATTTTAGCCGAAAATTTCTAACGTGGACGAGGGTCGTCCTATGTGACATGGATAATTTTTACAATTTTTTTTAAAAATTCTAATTTTTAATAATTATTTATTTTCTTTTTCTTTTTCCTTCTCCCTTTGCCCGTTGCCATGACCGGTGAGGCTCCACCTCGCCTAATCCCCTCGCCTCTAGCAGGTTGCCGGCCATGGTGACTGACAAAGGAAGAAGGAAAAATAAAAAAAATAAAAAAAAAAGAGAAAAGAATAAAAAAATTAATTTTTTTTTAAAATTGCAAAAACTGTCCACGTTAGCGCCGATCGTGCCACATAGGACGGCCAACGTCCGCGTCAATATTTTTTGGTCAAAATTGGCTGAATGGTCTCAATTGGCAAAATGGGAAACGATTTATGACTCAATTTGCACAATGAAATGTTTAAGACTGAATTGGTACAAGTACAATAGGTTTAGGACTTTTTTGGTTATTTATCAGTGGATTTTGCGCCGCTTGATTGTGTAGCTCCTTTGCGTCGCCTATGGCTCGTGGGATTTGATTAGGCGTTTCTCTTTTCTCGATTGTTTTCTTAGAAACCAGGTCA